CAGACGCAGCACTGGTAACGGTTAGTGGGAGTGGCTGTGGCTTGCAGTGGGCGTGGCTCTGTGCATCAGGTGGGCGTGGTCACAGCTGCTTCTATCTGCAGTGAGATCTGACTGATGCATGCATATAACACAGATCTGCAGGCCGCTGCTCATCTGTATCCGGCCCAAGCATGATGGGAAGTAAAAAAGCAAACAGGAGGTTTTCTCTGGAAAGCTCAGGGTGAGTGTGTCTTTTTCATTATTGTTAACTAAAACATTTAAAAATAAATGTATATATATATTATATATAGGGATGCACCGATACCACTTTTTCCAGTACTCGCCCGATACCGATACTTTTATTTTTGGTACTTGCCGATACCGATGCCGATACCTATATTTTTATTACATTTGTAAATTTTTTAAATATTGGGTACAGAAACCAAAAGGGTATGTATAATGTTAGTTGGTTAACTTCATTTATCAAATAGATACAGTCAAACCAAAATATATTCAGACACCTTCAACATTTCTCACATTACATTCGCTATAGTTTAGAAAATGGTAATAAAACATGAACTAAAACATTTAAAAATAAATGTATATATATATTATATATAATATAAAATATATATATTGGACGAAAATGAACTTAAAAAATAGAAATAAGTACATTTAAGTTTATATACTACAGGCAAAAACTGTTTCATGCATCTATTAGTTTTAAGATTTTGGGTTATTTGGATTTTCATAAAGTTTTGTTTTGGACTTGTGGAAAGAGAACATCCAACATACACATTTAAGTGTTAATTTTATTGCACTTTATCTATTTGTGTCTGTAGAAATTCCAATCTATACTGTGTATTTAAAGAGTTTTTTCTCTTACATTCACCAAACCTTATAGTTTTATTCCTCTCTGTATTCTGAAGGTTTGTTCATATATGATTCACACTGACTTACACAACATTTTACTCCTAAAAACATGGTGAAAAAGTGTTTGTTTTCTGTCTGTTGACAGAGAAATCCAAAATCCCCTCTGGAGAAACCTTGAACTCTAATATGACGACAAAATCAAACAAGAATTATGAACCTTGATTCATCCAGTCTTCAGATTTATGTGCTGGAAATTAGTGCATATTTGATTAGATAATGCTTATATAATATCTTTTAGTTATGTTTTAACCCTATTCACTTGCGTGGGGATTCTTGCCTTAAGTACTAAAATAACTAAGGATAAAACTTAAATAAAAATCAATTAAAGCAAAATAGAAAAAAAACTCTGATACTAATAACAATTGAGTAAAGCAAAATTACTAAGACTTGAACTAAAAAAAATTTAAGATAAACAAATTGCTTTTAAAATAAATGCTCAGTAGTACAAAATAACTAAATAAATAGTACAAAATAACTGCTTGTAAACCATTAGACATGATTACTGTATTCACTCCTCACGTGTAAACCATTAGACATGATTACTGTATTCACGCCTCACGTGTAAACCATTAGACATGATTACTGTATTCACTCCTCACGTGTAAACCATTAGACATGATTACTATATTCACTCCTCACGTGTAAACCATTAGACATGATTACCGTATTCACGCCTCACGTGTAAACATTAGATATGATTACTGTATTCAGTCCTCACATGTAAACCAATAGATATGATTACTGTATTCACATGCCTGTCGCTGTCAGTCACAGTTGCTGATTTGAGGAACAACATCATTTTGATTTTTATGAATAGAGTAGAATTTGGTGATTTAGTGAACTTTTGTGTAGCATCATTATAAGAAGCAGTCGTATAAAATGAACAGACTCGCATCTCAGGACAACCTGACAATTACATGATCATAAACAATCAAATTTCATGAATTCCATTTTATACATATTTATTATTCATGTGTCCCAGGACAACTCATCAACTTTGGCTTCTGAATTGCTGTTATAATCAAGTTCTTTGCCCAACATGTGTAGAGCTTTGTTTGTTTTCTAAGGCTTGTTCTGTTGCTGACGACTCGTCTATGAACTTTTGCTTTCTGAAATCAGATGGAAACTTTAGAAATATTCTGATTTCTGTGCCATTATTCTTATTTATTTAAAGTCTCTGAATTCAGTCACAAAAGTACTTATTTCAGAAACAATAGCAGTACTGTCAAATTATTAAGAGTCAAATTACTACTAATAATGATTCTATGACAGTAGTAACACTAATGGTTTAATTTACTGAAATATTGTTTATTATACTGTAATAGTATATAAACTGAAGTTTTCCTCAATTTTCTTCAATGCAAATTGAAGATGCAGGACAACCAGCTAGCAGTGCATTACAATAGTCCAGTCTAGAGGTCATGAATGCATGAACTAGCTTTTCTGCATCAGAAACAGGTAACATGTTTCGTAGTTTGGCAATGTTTCTAAGATGGAAGAATGCTGTTTTTGTAACATGGGAAATATGATTTTCAAAAGACAAGTTGCTATCTAATATAACACCCAGATTTTTGACTGTAGAGGAAGTAACAGTACATCCGTCTAGTTGCAAATTGTAATCCAAGAGATTCTGTGTACTGTCTTTTGGTCCAATAAGTAATATCTCTGTCTTATCTGCATTTAATAAGAGAAAATGATTGGTCATCCAATCTTTTACATTTTTAACACACTCTGTTAGCTTAGATAATTTAGAAGTTTCATCTGGTCTTGTTGAGATATATAGTTGAGTATCATCAGCATAACAGTGGAAACTAATCCCGTATTTTCTAATAATATTACCAAGGGGCAACATGTATATTGAAAATAGCAGAGGACCTAGGACAGATCCTTGTGGCACTCCATATTTTACTGGTGATAATTGAGATGACTCCCCATTTAAATAAACAAAATGGTAGCGATCGGACAGGTAAATGCAAATGCATAAAAATCTAAAAAATTCAAAAGTCTTCACCTTTAACGGTTTCAAGACTTCGCTCCTGTTGTTTTCTCAGAAGGAATGCAGATATCATCTTAAAACAATTGTGAAAGTGTTTTCAGTATTTTACGCAGAGTAGCACGAGATCTGTGACATCCACCATCACTTATTGTGTAATAAAATACATCAGCGCTTTTGTGTTTCTACTGCACTGTGTAACAGGTGAAGATGTGCGCTCATATTAAACCATAGTCTATCTTTGTAGGGTTGTGTGGACTGTAGATGTATGTTTGAGTGCAGACATTTTCAGAATTTCAGCTTTCTTTGATGAATAGAAAGATCCAAAGATCAGCATTTACCTGGAATAGAAATCTTTATAAATCTACATTAAGCGTAAATAATTTGTATTAATTTCTATTATTGAACCCCCAAAAAACTGTCACTGCCAGAACGTTCTGTTATTAGCTGTGATGAATGGATGTGCATGAGGAGGGTCATTCTACAGAAATATACTCTTGACAAGATGTCTTAAAATGCATTTCTTTTTCTAACATTGAAACTTAGACCACATTAGTAGATTACGTTTTGACTTTATGAATGCATATAAATGACAGCTTAATGATTTTTTTGTGCAATTATTTTAAAACCACATGGACCATTTTTTTTATATATTTCTCTTTTGTTTTTTTTTCAGCACATGTAGTCAAGAGTTACAGGAAAATAATGGAAATGCAAGAAATAAGGAGATTATGTTTTATTTATTTAATGTGACAGAAAAAAACACAGTAACACCAGTGACTCAACTCCAGGGGACCACTACTTTCATTATATATTTTATAATATTTATTGAGCATTTTGTTTTTTTATGCCATTTACATCATATATTTGATAGTTATGAATCGATTATTGTATTTTAAATGGTAGAAAAACCTGTTTTTGACCTCAGAATAAAGCACTTTCCCTCTGAACGTGGCTGTGGGGACGAGCAGTTTTGTGGTGCTTGGAAATCTATATAATTACTTAAATGTTGCCACATTGATGGTTCAAGAAGGTGTAATTGTAAAATATAAATAAATTGTAACCCTAAAGTGTTTTTCAAGTGTAATATTTCTGTAAAGGCTAGGGACAGAGAAACTATCTACACAGATCTAAACATTCTTGAATCAAGATGCATTTACATGACAGCTGAAATGACTTAAGATATTAAGTCTTGTTTTCTAAAAAAAAAAAAAAAGGATCAAAATGTAGTTAGTTTTTGTTTAAAACGAGGAAAAAAAATTTCAAAAAAAGCAATAAAAATAATCTTGTTTAGCCTTTAAGATATTAAGTCTTGTTTTCTAAAAAAAAAAAAAAGGATCAAAATGTAGTTAGTTTTTGTTTAAAACGAGCAAAAATATCTGCCAATGAGGCAATAAAAATAATCTTGTTTAGCCTTTGAATTAAGATTACTTTTCTTACCCCATTGGCAGATATTTTTGCTCGTTTTAAGCAAAAACTAACAACATTTTGATTATTTCCTTTAGAAAACAAGACTTAATATCTTAAGCCATTTCACCTGTCAAGTAAATGCATCTTGATTCAAGAATGTTCAGATATTTATACCAGAAAACAAGACAAACATACTAAGTAAGGAAATCATACAAACTGCTTCTCACACGGTTCTCTCAGCACATTAAAGCGACTGTGAGACGAAAGCAAATGACGTTAGTAAAACTCATATGTGGCTGGATTCTGATGAGAGAGACAACAGCAGATGAGCTTTTTCACTGCAGGAAGAGTTATCTGATCAAAACTCTATGAATCACATGCAAAAGAAAGCCATTCAGTTCCAAGTTCTGCTGTCTGAAGATTCTACATGTGAAGCGTCATGTTAACATGCACTGAAATCATTCACCGATATTCATGACGCATCTCCCATCTCATAAACATTCTTACAATAGAACATAAATATAACATTTCACAACAGCAACATCATCAGATTCAGCAGCAGCAGTGATCACAGACAATGACATGCTGTTCACTATGTGCTCATAAATACAATTATAAACATGTTTATGATAGACAGACAGACAGACAGACAGCGGGCGGCCGGTAGGCGGCGATATTAGCGCTGCGGTGTAGTTCTCCATCCGCTCTTCAGACCACAGAAGAAGAAGAAGCTGCTTCACAACATTCAGCGCGATGGAGTCCAGCGATGCGGGTAACAGCCTGCACACACTCAAATATCCTCACAAACACTGGTTTTCTCGCACATATGTGTGTTTATTTGTGTGTCTGACTCGTTCTTTGACTCAGTTTGTTGAGGTGATGTTTGTTTGGATTGTTTTGATCGATTAGCCGCTTCAGTGCTAAACCTCACAAACCAAAACAACACTTGTGTTGTATTTTATTAGCGATGTGTAGCATATAAAACACGATATCAGAGCTTTATATTCTGTATTTCATGCTGAATAACTCCGATATCCGTCTGTATTTACTTTAAATTCTATATGGGTTTCTTTTTTTCATCTTTTCTAAACATGCTATACCTAAAAATATGCCTACTTATTTTTAGCAGTAACGTTAGTTTACTGTGTGTTTGTACTTGTTAGTGCAATAACTAGGTACTAAACCTTAACCTAACCCATGTAGTTACCTTATATTACCAGAACTTTCTTAGGCAAATACATGTACTGTAAAATAAAGTGCAAGCAAAACCATGGAAGTCTATGAGATGAGCTGAGCAGTACAGTGAAATCACCGCGTGTTTGTGTGTGTTTCAGGTCGTGGCGGCTGGAAGACTCATCAGAAGAGTAAACTGAATGTGATCATGAGACAGGAGGAGCTGATCGCTCAGAAGAAGAGAGAGATCGAGGCCAGACTGAAAGAACAGGCTCAGAAGAAGCAGAAGCCCGTCCAGAACCAGAACCTGAACCTGGACCAGAACCAATCCAGCAGGTGACGCACGGCTCTGATCATCAGTACAGCAGAACAGACGTGATCTGTGTGTGTGTTGATCTCTCTCTGTGTGTGTGTGTGTGTGTGTGTGTGTGTGTGTGTGTCAGTTCTCCTCCCTCAGAGGCATCTTCTTCATCATCATCCTCATCCTCCTCCTCCTCATCCTCATCAAACAAGTTTGTGAACGACGGCAGTTTCCTGCAGCAGTTCCTGAAGATGCAGCGAGAGAAATCCAGCGCTGATGAAGGTTTGTTTCTCTCTCTCACACGTCACGGGTGTTCATGTTTGCTTTGACTCATGGTTCAACAGTATCTGCACCACTGCAAATGTATTCGTTTTACAGTTCAGTAAACAAGAAGTTAATATACTGTTACATTTTAGACAAATACTGTCTGTTTTTGCTCAATTTCACCAATGAAAACAGCTCTAAACAAAGTCGTTACAGCTTTTCGTTCCTGAATGAATCAGTGTTTTGAACAAATCAATGATTCGATGACTCATTCATACAGACAGTGAATCAGTCGTTTGCACGAATCAGTTGAATGAATGACTCACTTAAGACATTTAACTCGCTTTTAGTTTCATATTTAAATCATAATTTTACTTTTTAAGTGTTTTCATCTTTCAATATTCAAAATATTATTTTTTATCTTTATTTTTTAATTAATATTATGCATAGTGTTATTGATACATGTGTAATTGCAGTGTAAATGCGGCGTTAGACGCAGCATCTGTGCCACTTCTGCAGAGCAAACAAGGGTTTTGTTTACTAATTTCATCTGATTGATGACAGTCTATAGTTTCTCATTATTCTAACTGAATATATTGATCAAATGTCAGAATCTGATGCATCTAATTAAGGTTAGGTTATCAACTGATTCACTGCACAGAATATGATGAACATGAAAGGTTTTGTGAGCCAGCTGATACGAAAGTCCTAAATTAGCACACTCCATCTAATTATAGTTATACCCCCGGTCTTGTGTCACTATAACATGAGCGCTTGTACTTCTGCTGAAGTGAAATAATAGTGCATTAATGAGGCTGTAATTCAGCTGGATTGTAGTTTTCTCACTGATGTGAAACTTTTGGCCTCAACTGTAATTACAACCTTGTGGTGATGTTCATGTGCATTGTACTGAATACTTTTAAAATGCACCATGTGATCTGCTCTGTTTGGACTGTCATGCAGCTCTTGTGCTGATGTCATTTCCTGTAGGATCGGCCGGCTCCACCCCCAGCGCTCAGAGCCCGCCCTCAGCCGGAGGTCAGGCTCAGAAGAGGAGCGTTCTGATCGGAAAGCGGCCCGGTCTGGGGGTCAGCAGCATGATCAATCAGTTCAAGAACTACTCTCCATCCAAGAAGACAGCGCTGCCCGCGGCCCGACCCAGTGTGTTCAGCTCCCCCGATGATGAAGAGGAGGAGGACGATGATGCAGACTACCTGGAGGTCAAAGGTATCGCACTCTCCACGTTTTGACCAGGGAACGTTCATCTAAAGGCCTGTTGACCAGCATTCTTCCTCTGGTTGAGTTAGCGTGACTAACTAAAGGACTAGTTCACCCATCAGTCAAACTCATGAAAAGAGACGTTTAGCAGCATGTTCTCGCTGCTCTTTTACACAAGAGGGATGTGGATTGTTATTGATACCGTGAAGCTCCAAAAGCACCATAAATATTCATAACAATCCGTATGATTTGCACTATTGGCTTCTGAAGTCACATGATGCGTTGTGTGAGGAGCAGACCCACATTATTTAGTTTATTAAGTCAGCATGAAGTGGAAATCCACCCTATTTGTATTCTAAATGCATGTTATAGATCTTATTGTAAACGGTCCATTTTTTTTAATGCTGTGAGCTCGTAATGTTTAATCAAATCCTCATAACTGGATCTTCTCTCTGGTGACGTATGCAGGATTTCTCCAATCATTTATTCTCTTAAACTCCGCCCCTGCAGCTCTCGCTCATCTGCATACACTTTTGAGAGCCACGCCCACATCTCAACATCCAATCAATGAGAACCAAGTCCCGCCCTGCATTGATTCTTTTGTTTCAATCAAATATGCGTCATAATACAGAAGAAAAGCTCTGTTGCTACTTCTGTTTAGCTATGACTATGAGTCCTGAATAATTAGTGCAAGCAGGCATTCAAATCTGACATGTGAAGTAAAACTATTATGAAAATATAATTGTTAAAGCTTTGCCTGAAGATGAAGAGATTTATGTATACTGACCTGAGAATCATTTTTTCTCTGTTATTATTTCAGCAGTCGTGTCTTGTTTGTTTTCTATTGGCTGTTTAGAAATGGCAAATTAATCACTCTTTTGATCAAACAGGTTTGCAAAGAGTTCTGAAATTGTTTGCGATTCAGGTTTGATTCATTTGGGCAGTGCACTCGCACACTGAAGCATTTGCAGTCGTTTCTCAAACAGTAGCAAGCTACTTTAATAAACAAAAAACAACAAGACCGCTGCAATGAAAACTCACTCAGAAATGGCAAGTAACACATGGAATTGAATGAAATATTGAAACATAAAGACTGAAATGTGACCCTGCAGCACAAAAGCAGTGTTAAGTCGCTGGGGTATATTTGTAGCAATAGCCAACAATACATTGTATGGGTCAAAATTATACATTTTTCTTTTATGCCAAAAATCATCGAGTCACAAATAGTATTTTCTTTTAAAACAAACTCCATTAAACTTTATTTACCAATTAAAAAAAATAGTATGCATGAGGTGATATTTACCTACAATCCATTGTAGTGTAAGAAACAAACTTGTAAATGTCTGTGATTAAGCAGCAATGCTTATGAACGAGTCTGTGCTGCACTGTATGTACGTAACAGTATCAAAATATGAAGTGCGGCTCCAGTGCTGATGAAAGACTAGAAAGGCTCAGGTTTAGCTTTAAGATCATGATGAATAAGCGGTCCGCTGCTCACTCCGCTCATCGTGTGACTGTATGTTCGTCAGATTATCAGATGTGCTGTGTACAGTGTTTGCGTTATGCTGGCGTTCTCATAGCCTGCTTAAAGTTTCCCCCCCAGAGGACGGAGATCTGCGTCTCGTCATCGATAAGATGGCCTCGTTTGTCGCCGAAGGCGGTGCTGAGCTGGAGAAGAAGGCCATGGAGGACTACAGAGACGATCCCGTCTTCTCGTGAGTTCCTCATCTGTCACTTGTAGCTCGTTGTTTTCTGTGTTGAGTCCAGATCTTCCAGCACTGACTCTCTCCTGCGCAGGTTCTTGTTTGAGAAGAGCAGTAAGGAGTTTCTGTACTACAGGAGGAGAGTGGCGGAGATCAGACGAGACGCGTCGCATCAGACCGATGGTGAGAAACACGTTTAACAAACACACAACCAGGGCTGCAACGATTCCTCCATTCTATTCGAGTATTCGATTAAAAAAAAATCCTCGATTTCATATTGCCTGCGTCGAGTAATCGATTAAAAACCAGAAGTGGCTCATTTCACAGACGAGAATCCATGAAACGCATTATTAGACCGTTTTCCAAGGCTGCATGAAAAATCATAATAAAGCATCATTCTATTGTGAATTCACAAACGCTACGATTCAATTAAATAAGTATATGCGATGCAGGTTTAATAAATGTGCTTTAATTATTTACATGTGTGTCACAGCGGCTCCGTTCACAGTAAACGCTGCTCCGCACAAACTCTTATCATTTACATGTGTGGAGCGTCTCAAACTCATCTCTGCATGTTGTTGTGTGTTTGGGTTTATTATAACGTTTGTCTGGGAACGCATCGTGCGCCATTTCATCAGATTTGTGAAGTAAATCATTTATGAACCTACGCAAACACAGGAGAACACATCAGTATCTTTCTCAATATGTTCATCGCGATTTCAAAATGAAAGCTCAAACCCTCGCTCTGAGTTTAAATGTTTTGATATCCACATATTCAACAAATTGCAGTGGCTATAGCATTTCTGTCCTAAAGAAATGGCCACATATTAAAGATTAAGTGGACATTCGAATTAAATGTTTAGTCAATATTAAACAAGGATTAGAGCACATTTGACCCCCAAAGCCCGGTTCGTTTGAGTAGTGTGACCGCTCCAGTTCATTTAGCTGTCTCTGGCTCGGTTGGAAGAGGTGGGCCAAAGCGCGGTTCTTCTGATACGTGCAGCATGATTGCGTGAACATTTCTGAGCGGCAAAAGTGATTAATCTGTTAAGCAATATATTGTGAGAGAGTCGTGTGTCACCGCGTCCCAAAGACTCAAAATAATAAACCACAAAGTTAACAAAACGATGCACTCCTCTGTGCTGAGCGAGAGCACTTCTCTGCTGTCTTCACTATCAGAAACCTTCCTATTACCCACTTATGAAGTTGTGATTACGTGATTTGTTGTCAGAAAGAATAAAATGTAATATTCCATTGGTTGATAACCGTAAACATTCACTGTGCTAGATACTCAGCTTGATACGATTCTGGAATTTCGGTCAAATACATGCTTATTTCACTGTTTATAGGCGAGTACATACAATATGCTTCAAATACCTATAAACAGTGAAATAAGCATAAGTTAAACTGCCTGCTGTTCTTCAGAAAAATCCCCCAGCTCCTGCACATTCTTCAGTTTTGCAGCTTCTTCTGCATGTTTGAACCCTTTCCAAAAGTGACTGATTTTGAGATCCATCTTTTCACACTGAGGACAGTTGGGGGACTCGTACATAACCATTACAAAAGGTGAAAACATTTACTGATGCTCAAGAAGGCAACACAATGCATTAAGCAAAGTGTAAACTTTGTAAATTGGATAATCAGGGTAAATTGTACTTGTTTTTTCTTCTGGGAAACATGTAAGTATTTATGTAGCTTCTTAAGTGCAGTACCAAATGAAAACAATATGATCTTTAAACAAAATAAGAAAAATGTAGACATCATCATCCTGTTCAAAAGTTTACACCCCCCGCTCTTAATGCATTGTGTTGCCTTCTTGAGCATCAGAACATGTTTTCACCTTTTGTAATTAAGTATGAGTCGCTCAGTTGTCCTCAGTGTTAAAAGCTGGATCTCAAAATCAGTCACTGCTGGAAAGAGTTCACATATGCAGAAGATGCTGGAAAACCACAGAATGTGCAGGAGCTGGAGGATTTTTCTGAAGAACAGCAGGCAGTTGAACTGTTCAGGACAAACAAGGGACTCATGAACAACTATCACCAAATATAAAAACTGTCGTGGATCATCCAGGAGGAAATTACACACAGTATTAAGGTTCAAGGGTATGTAAACTTTTGAAGGGGGTTATTTTTATAAA